AGACAGCCGACAGGCATTTGGCGGTCATAGATCTCTGCGGGAATTTAACAGAGCCTTACAACATTTAGTATGCTGATCGTCATGACACCACTAGAAACACTGGCAACGTCCCAGGCGTTGGAAACCACTCATTAACGAAATAAATCAGCATTTTCGTGCGCGACTCCTGCGCAAGATCTAAGTGCAGCTCATTTCTTTTATGCTCAAGTGGCTTTTATGAGTTTTTGAAACTTTATCGTAGTCTAAAAAGAGGTCAGCTGAGCCTTGTTACCCTAAAATCTATGGAATTATACAAAAACTTCTTTTCTAGCGCAGAAAAGGCTGTAAAAACGCAATTTTTGGGTTCTGCTGGGATCTTTCAGGACCTTACTATACTTGCTTGTTCACTCACCGATACGGTTCTACTTAACAACTTTAACGACCGAGACATAGCCCCCCCCCCCGACGACTTCTTTTTTGATGAAGGCTACCAGATACTTTTTTTCTGTATCGAAGGTATGGCTGGCGTAAATCTGCATATCGCAGACACATGAAAATCACTTTTTTCTTTCTTTTTGCTACTCTAGCACGTGTATGCATATGCACTTTCAATCCCGTCAACAATAGCAAAGTCAGATCGACGAGTTAGGGACTTTTTTTAGAGAGTGCTGGAATCCCGTCCTAAATCTCAGTAACTTACAGAAAATCATTGTGTAATGAAACACTTCATAGCATCATAGGAGTGCGAATTAGACGATAAGCCTTGCGAAAGCAAATTGTTCACTAAAAGTGCATTGGTTTTTATACGGTGTTTAGTATTCTGTTTTACCATATGTTATGAGCAATTGATTTCTCGCAATAAGTTTCTCACGTCGTGGTTACGAAAATGACAAGCATTTTGAATGAGAGGATATTAGAACTACAAGAGAAAGAAACGTTTTGAAGTCTTGCGAAGCCATATACATTTACAAAATAAAATCAAAAAGTCCTTTCTTTGGCTCAGCGAAAACGATTAAAAAAATGCGGCTAATGTGATCTGAGGTCATGGCGGAAGAACACTCATTCGAATGTACTCAACGTAGCGCCGTAGAAGCGGCTCAGGCTGGTAGATACCCGAACACTAGCTAAACTAATAATTTATCTGTTATGACATATAATAGGAATCAAGCAATACACTAAGGCGATCAAATATAACAACATGGATCACTGAGTTGCTGGTCGGGCAGGCATCAGCCTGTGACGGTGGAGGGGTAGCTTGGGCTGCCAATCGGTATCCTCCTAGCTCGAGGCTTGGTACGGGAATTCCCCCGGCTTCTGCTCTCGGTGGAGGGTTATATAGCATACTGCGGAATCACGTCGTATCTGTAACAGTTAATCTTATTCTCATAACATACTAATACCTTATCTGTGTCTTATATCTTGTTCTCATAACATAGCTCTTTCGCGTGCGTTCCTATGCACCTACGCTTACAATGTGAGGTTGCGATCAATTTCTTGTCACTCGTCTTACGTTTTAGATATTACTTCTGCTTCTGTGAAATTTGCTTTTATTTTTCCTTGTCTTTTCTGTATCATTTGTATTTGAGGATTTCTGTGGATTCCAAATTTTCGCTAAAATCTTTTTGCTATAATTTTGAGGCTTCTTTGGAAATTACTGACGAGAGGCACCAGCGAAACTGCACTACCGGTGTAGTTCTTAGCCCGGAAACCGGATAGAGTTCAAAAACTGAGAGAAAAAATTCTAAGACTCTCTTGTATGAATCTAGTATTTTATTTATCAAATGTATAAAGCATTTTTGTTATTGTATGAAACGATAAGCTTAGATCACACCCATTATCACAAATTCCCATCATTACCATACTGTCTGGACCTCGCATAGTTACGATAACGTGCACTGCGTGAGCTCAAGCGACCGATCTGGAAAGTTTGGCTATGTCATGCACGAAAGTCTCGATTTTGAAAGATCGGGCTTTGCTGCCCGTTTGCGCTATACTCTTTAAACTTTTATAATCACAGGTTAGCGCTCCCGCGCGTCTGGGCCGTGTATAATGGTGAAATGCTTCCGAACAGCGAGCGGAAGATTAGTAATTAATGCCCCTGGTCAACGGAACTTGTGGGAGACGGAAAGTCTGGATTGATATTCAGACTTGATTTTGATTATGATTTTGCAGAACCGTCAATGGTGCCATTTGATTTGAAGACGCCAATAACAGTGATTATGGTATGTGCTCTCGGTCCAGTGGTTCTTAAGGAGGAACCTGCATAAATTTCCAAACATGATGTACTAGCATAGTCTAGTACAGGGTCTTGCAAGAGGATGGCAAAGGTCAAGCTAGAAGTCTTACTAGATCAAAAAGAAGCTGAATATCTAAATAAATATGTATATACCTGTGGCGGTCCCAGATTTCCCCTCGGGTAGGTGGGGGGAAGAAATTTTTTCGAACGAAGGTACGCGGTGTTAAATACTCACTCCGAAAATGTTCTCGGAATGCTTCCCAAACTTCTTGCGCTCCCCTAACTCCGAGATTCAGAAGAGGGCGTGGCGGTGGCCACGTCCCGAGAATTTTTTTATAGGACTACTTTGAATAACTGAAAAATTTTAAAAAATCTATTCCAATAATTTACAGGTATAAACAAGTTATTTGCACATTTCAAGTCAAGCAAGTAACATTCAAAAATTTCGCGGCCCATTCTGGGAGGGAGGGGGATGGGGGACTTCGGTCCGCCACTGGTATATATATATTAGGTGGGTGCAAAAGTTCTGTCGTTTCATTTTCAAAAATTTGTAACTTCGCCAGATTTCAACGGATTTGCTTGCCTGTAATTTTATTAGAAAGAATAGTTCTTCCGCTTTCAAGCGCTTTTTTGTAGAGCTTCTGTTTCACACTGAGTGCAGAGATAAAAATGAAAAACTGAGGCCATGCAAACTTTGACCATTTTAAGTTAGGTCATCAAAAATCGGGAACGCTGCAGAAAAATCTGAAATCTTCCGTACATATGTTTTTTTGGCCTACACTTTGCATCTTTGAAAAATTTGTGCTGTTTGAACGTCTCCGTGAGATGTTATGAATATCGAGTTTACCATGGAAAACGCCAAAATCAATTAATTTGTGAATTTTCGCGAAAATCATAACTTCTCAAAGAGACGTCCAAACAGCACAAACTCTTCACAGTTGTAAAGAGTAGGCCAAAAAACATATGTACTGACGATTTTAGATTTTTCTGCAGCATTCCAGATTTTTAGTGACCTAACTTAAAATGGTCAAAGTTTACATGGTCTTAGTTTTTTATTTTTATCTCGGCACTCAGTGTGAAACAGAAGCTCCACAAAAAAGCGCTTGAAAGCGGAAGACCTATTCTTTCTAATAAAATTACAGGCACTCAAATCCGTTGAAATCTGGCGAAATTACAAATTTTTGAAAATGAAACGACAGAACTTTTGCACCCACCTAATATATATATATATATATATATATTATATATATATATATATATATATATATATATATATATATATATATATATATATATATATATATATATATATATATATATATATATATATATATCATGCATCCCTCAGAAATGTTCCCATGTGAACCATCAACGTGGCTGCCTTTCGATCGTTTTAGTACGTTCACTCCAGCAATGAGGCGCTTATTCGAACTTGACATGTTGAAATGACTCATGGATAGCCACGTTGATAGTTCATATGAAATCCTTGGGGATGCGCCATATGTATATACTATTATCACTATCATTATTCTGTGTATTTATATGTATATACGAGTCCCAGGACAAGTTGCTCATGACTAACGTGCAAAAATACGATTTTGCGTCATTCGCGCGTCATCTTTACAATCCTGATATTTTTCGTTGAGTAGCAATTAACTGCCGCATTTATAGCACCCATATAAAGGTATGATTCGAAATCTAGTGTATAAACGGACAAGGGCTAAGTTATGGCAATGAAAATGTTTTATAAGTGGGAAGTGGTTTCATGATACTTTTGCAACGCGCCGATAACGATATGCTCCAAACTTGGTGCTGTATGATTGGTGGGGAATGAAAACAATGTATGAAATTATATGAGAAACTTACGTGAATTAAGGGTATGCCCAAGTTTCCAAATTTGAGTGGCATATGCCACCCTAATGGCCACCCTGTGGGTAACAACATATGCATTTTACATGATTTCTTACGCAGTTTTCAATAAATTTGTTCCGCAGCAAGAGTCAGTAGCACTACACTAAATGGTTCTGAAAGTCCCCCTCTCCTCTTTGTTCGGACACGAAATAGCGCGATACTGGTCCTCTCAAGGAAGTTTCATTCTCCTAACATGTCACTTTCATATGCAGGCTTTGAAAGGTCGAAAGATTTCTGAGTGTCCGAAAAGAGATTACCACATAAAATAATAATCGCTGAACTGCAAAGTTTCAGCAAAGTCCATAATCTTTACCGCCTTTTTTACAGATAAAGAAGGTCGTCCACAAACTTAATGTAGCTCAGACTGGATGTTGCGATTGATGAAACATATACTAATTTGCATATGGCTACGTCTCCAATATAAATTCCAGCCATGAAATCTTCATTGATTCATTTTAAGAAATAGAACACATTTTATACATATGCAAACAGTTTTCAGTTACACGCGTAGAAGAGGTGTTGCATACATCAACGAGGATAAATCAGCAGATCCATAGATCATTTTTGTTTCTTGGAAATATATGAAAACACAAGCTACCATATCCTTGAGGAAAAGTTCATGCTACGATATTGTGTCAGTAAAGAATGAACAAAAACTATTGGCTCTCTACAAAAATGCAACAGAAGTTGTTAGATGCTATAAATGTTCGGATCATATGAAACTCAAGTGATTGATATCTTTGATCCTCATATAGTGCTCAGAAAGGCTTTTGAAAAGACTACCGGTAAGGTAAAAGATTTCATTGATTAAAGGTTTTCAATTTAAACTTCATCACTGTTTCACGATATTGAAGAAGTCGACGATCTCACTTACATAATAGTGTCTATCATACCAAAAAGCATTGGCAGCTAGAAGATTCACCACAGATTGGTCGAACCTGAAACATCAGAAAGAGTAGGCATTCCCAGTCGATCAAAATAGACCCATTCAATACTGCCGGATGTGCCACAAAATTAAAGCATCAGAAAGAGTTCGATAGTACCCTAATCCGATATTCGATAATGCTTTGCAAACTTTTTTATTGGCACTCCCTCTCTTTTCGTAACCGTAAACGACAGTGGCGGGGAAAGGCTGTAGAGTTAGGAGTCCACAACCCCTTTCGCAGAGCCGTCTCGCTGATATGGAAAGCGAAAATGGTATCAGCATGAGGAGAGCATGATGGTAACCCCTCTTTGCTGATCCCAGACGCGATTCACTCACTTCAAATTAGACAACAGTTCAACTCCTTTCGGTATGCTTTTGCAGTCAGACAAGTACCCAAAAATCTGGCATATAGGGCCTCCCCGCAATAAATCCGTCTAAAAATAAGTCTGACACAAATTAGCCGCTTCCGGCTTATCCGAAAAATTTTAGGGTAGTTATAAAAGGACTTATCTTCTGTTAAGCGGACTTAACTGAAAACGACTTATCTGAGTCAAAAAGCTGTCAGAGTCTAAGGTACATCTGCGCCGTGAAGGGAGCACCTCAAAAGAAGGCTTCATTAACACGTTTCGGACCGCGAAATCGCGCGCGGCGAAAAAGAGTGCACTTTCAGCCATTAGCCAACAAAGGTATCTTATTTCGTAGACTGTGTGCTACATCTGTGATTAACTTATCAAATAAGTCCTATAGACAAAGTTTTGAGCGGATTCGAAGTGTTTAGATTTTGTCGCTTTTGAAGGACTTTTGTGCTTCCCTGAAAGATAGGAACAAGAACTCAGTCTCTAATAGTATCCAGAAGTATCTATGTTGTAGACGGTACACATCAGTATTGAAACTATGGTTTTTCTTTTTGATATCAAGCAAAGGAAAGTTGCGACGTCGCACGCGTTTCAATCAGGGCCCGGCACGAGTCGGTTTCTAGCGTTTCTGAAAACGAAGTCTTCCATGACTTTCGGAAGTTTTACGAAGTCCCCTTTAACCTAATTGCTTAGGAGAAGATGAAAACAAGAAAGAGTTACTACTCTGAAAGATAAAACGTAAGATAAGAGTGAAAATCCAAATTACAGCTGAGTACTACGCATGCACAAGAGTTTGGGATTGGAGCGCGATATTTTACAAAGCGTTATATGAGAAAATAAAGGCAAAAAACAAAGGAAAGGCAATGAATTGAAAATGTTTTCATGCTCAGGGGTAGATTTTCGACCGGAGAATCCGTTCATGATAGAAAAATACAAAACTTATGTGAAGTGACAGAAATATATGCTCCAGACGATCTCAGATCGTCTGGTGGCCGTCTGGAGACGATCTAATTTTGGAAAACGTATTACTTCACATAAGTTTTCAAACATTTTTACATAATTCTTTTGCAAATAATTTTCAATGTATACAGTACAATTTTGGTGTCATATGACTTTGTGTGCATTGTAAACAAGCAATTTGTTTATTTCAGCCTTGCTTTCAAATTGCGCGCACTTTTCGCCATACACGATAGAGCATGTCAATCGTGTGATAACCTGTCTGAAAAGCTTGTATTCGACTAAATGGCGCTTATTCTTGGTGCTGGGCCCCGAATCGTCAAAAACGAAATCTCCTTTGCTTTTTGCTCTGAAAACGAAGTCCAGCTTGCTTCTGGACGATCTGTGCCGGGCCCTGGTTTCAATACTGATGTGTACCGTCGTTCGCGTTGCCGCACTCGTTGCAACTGTTGTTCGATTTGACAGAACAAATTTCGCAGTCGTTGCACCTTTTGCCACAGTACCCCAGTTGGGTCTAACAGGGGCAATCGTGGTGGGATCAACTAATACTTCTACTGCCCTCCGTCCTCTGAAAGTGAGTGCCCCAGTTGTGCATAGAGGATAACTGCAACTGCAGAAATCTCATCACAGTGCAGTTAATGTTTTAATCAGGAAGGCAGATCAGACTGCGGAGAAGATTTTGATTTGTTTGTGCATCCATTTCGGCGATCATAAGCAGCAGTTTTTACATTTTGGCTGCTCTCTGACATACAGAACTAAAATCGTTTTCAGACATTATGTTAATTTTAGTTTCGTTTGCAATCAATCAATAACAACCACCCGTTGTTCCACTTATGAACCACTAAATATTGAATTCGGACAAAAAACGTTTTCTGAGAGCGACACGTAACGCATCTGCAAATTAGACTTTTGCTTACTTCCTTCATGCAGCTAAATTGTTTTCTAGATGGATCATCTATGATAAACAAACGCAGTTGGAATCGGGGGGAGAATTGCTTTTGTCCAACTACGACATGCAGTGGTTCATATTAACTTCAGCTCAGCATTATTACCTCTAACAAGGTAAATTATCACGGGATGTGCCATAATAGAGCGTCGGCTTAGTTTCAGTGATGAAACTCTTTGGATAAGGGGTAGGAAGTAAACCGTTCTGAAACTATCGCTCCCACCGTGCGGTAGTTCCAAACGGCAGCCTTTGACTCGCTGTCACTTACCGTAAATGCCATTTTAGCATTTTAATACCTCCGCCTTAGGCTCACCAGTCAAAAAACCACTAAAGAAACCTAAATCTTTTCGGGTGGACACTTGGAACTAACTAGAGACATGCTTCACTTCAATGCGACAAAGATTCCTTGCATTTGCAATAGTTAGGTCCGATGGGAAAACAGATTCTTGCTCAGCTTGTCCGCAATTTTGCTACCGTCGCTTCCCTACCTTATTTTTCACGTCTTAACACATGCATCTCTCATTCAACATTGTGGAGAATTGCTATAAAGATGATTGGTTAATACAGACGGAGACTTAGGCTTGATACATACCTAGCGTCGGGTGTCTATACGTAGCGGTGGCAGCAATGTGAGTTGTGCGTATTGATTGCAATGGAGTGACGCTGCTGCCTCCCGCTGCAGCAGCTAACACGGAAGGTCGTGTCCATACCTAACGAGTTTTTGAGCAGCGCTGCGCAGCGCTGCTCAAGCTGATCAGCGCTGCAATGAGATTTGCAGCTGAGTTACGCTCACTTTTTCTGAGCGTATCTCAGCAGCTGTGAGCTGCAAACAGCTGTTTTAGCTCGAAATTACCAATTTTTTGCAATTTTCAAACTCTAACTAGCGTTCTGAAAACAGAGTCCGTCTTTATATTGCGTGAGCAAGTCATGAATGCAACCTAATACCGTTTAATTGGGATTTCAGAGGATAGGAAATATTGAGACTCAGTGGAGGGACATACTCCATGAACTTGAAGAGAAAGAAATTGATACTGACTACACATTGGCAATAATTTAAAAAGCTGACAGCGTAATCAGATAAAATTTGGCCTGCAATGGACTCCAATCATGTCATTGCCTGAGGGACACTTTCATACTACTGGGACAGCCACTGCCTTATCAGTGGTCGAATGGAATGAATACATTTGAATTGCTTTTTAGTGTTTGCTCTTATGAGCTACTTTCTATTGTAAATTTAATGATGAAAAAAGAAAAATGAAGGACTTCTCATAAAAGTATGGACCAGATCCAACTTAAAATATGGTAATTCTCTTCTTTTTGACATATTAAAACTCGACATTAGCGCAGTTATTTTTGATGGTTTCTGCACTCAACATGCACTCAAAAAGCAGCCGCGCAGCGCTGATCAGCCGGAGCAGCGCTGCCTTCGCTGCTCGCTGGTTTTGTCCATATCTAAGCAGCGAGGTATGTATCAAGCCCTAGGTGACGACGTGGTGTTAGAGGGGGGGCGTTAGGTACCCAGCTGGGGTCTAGGCGTTAGGTACCCAGTCATCACAGGTATACACTAAGCCACGCCCCTTGGTTGCTTCAACAGCGGGTACCTAACGATACACTAAATCCTAGCTGCGAGAACAGCTTACCTAGTCGCTAAAGTGCTGGCGCTTGCCACCCAGGAAAAAAGATGGAGGAAATGAAAAAATGCGCGAACGAAAGCACAAGTTTGTAAACAAGTTTTTTCATTGCTTCTTTTTTATCAACTGGAAACCCAGAAATTCGGTGATTAAAGTCAAAACAGGGTAAAGCTTTTATGATCTAATCTAACCGATAACGTCAGCGGTCAAAAAAGTAAACTTTGTAGAATTTCGATTAACCAAAATTTTATGATTTTAATGGAGCAAAGCGCACTTTTGGAGATGCTCGTGGCAAATAAGTTGCAGGAAATATTACTTTGTTTCAGAAAGCTGCTCCTACTATATTTTTGACAATGAGAAGTGATATCAAGTGGAAGAAAAGCTTCGGCGAGAATTTGTCATCAGAAATCGGAACAAGGAGGACTATGTGACTACCAATTGATTAATGGGGGCCACTAGCTCTGTTTCAATCAATGAAAATTTTGCATCTTAGGGCTATGCCAACTTCGGATGAGTGTGTACCAATAGAATGAAATAGGTTGACAAAATCTTTCTCATTTTAATGAGTTACAAAAAAATGCATAGCTTTGGTTGGATAAATTGAATCTATTTTAGCTACTAGAAAAGAGAATGACCAAGAAACACTGCAATATGAAAGCCCTCCAAAAAACACCACAGAGAAGGCATGATAAAAACAGTAGCTCAATGAAAATTTCACATGGGATGCGGAATTTCCCGAAATAGAAAGATTTGCTTATCAATGTAATGTCCCATAGATCTGTTGGCCCTAGCAATAACCACTATAAAAACGGTAATTTACGACAATGGAGTTCATAATCGTGTGGCAATATTAACGATAATGGGTTACGACCCTTGACTTCACATCTCAAAACGAGCCCGACAACAATATGTGAAAGGAATATCCCGCACAACTTATTTGCCAGGAATCTCCCAAAGTGCACTTTGCTTCGTCAAAATCATATAAATTAGGTTTAATGGAATTCCACGAAGTTTTCTTTTTTGAAAGTCCCGCTGACATTATCGGTTAGATCAGTTTATCATAATTTTTTGCAAAACTATGTGAAGTGCTAGTGAAAGTTTACCCTGTTTTCAATCTTCATCA